TGTTTTGTTGGTCAAGAAGAAGGATAGCACATGGAGAATGTGCATGGATTACAGACAATTAAATGAGTTAACTATAAAGGACAAATATCCAATTCCACTTATTGATGATCTGTTGGATGAATTGCATGGGGAGAAGTATTTTTCCAAATTGGACTTGAGGAGCGGCTATCATCAGATTAGAGTTCATCCAGAGGATATTGAAAAGACAGCTTTTCGGACTCATGAGGGACATTATGAATTCCTTGTTATGCCCTTTGGATTGACAAATGCTCCAGCCACATTTCAAGGTTTGATGAATGAGATTTTCCGAAATTGTTTAAGGAGGTTTGTCTTGGTATTTTTTGATGATATTCTAGTTTACAGTACTTCATGGTCAGATCATTTGAGGCATTTACATACTGTTTTGGAAATTCTAAAGCATCATCAACTTTTTGTCAAGATGTCCAAGTGTGCCTTTGGAGTTTCTACTATTGAGTATTTGGGCCACATCGTCTCTAGGCAAGGAGTTGCAGCTGATCCTTCCAAATAAAAGGCCGTTGCATAGTGGCCTATCCCTACTTCTGTGAAGAGTTTGAGAGGTTTTTTGGGTCTCACAGGCTATTATCAGAAATTTATTCCTCACTATGGTAGGGAAAGTTTCCCTTTGACTCAGTTAACCAAGAAGGATGGCTTTGTTTGGTCTCCAGAGGCTACTACTGCCTTTCACAAACTCAAGGAACTCATGTTATCTCCCAGGGTTCTTGCCTTGCCAGATTTTACCAAACCTTTTATCATTGAGAGTGATGCTTTTGGTTATGGTATAGGAGCTATGTTACAACAGGAGGGAAGGCTTATTGCTTTTACCAGCAAGACTCTTGGTCCTAGAAACCACGCCCTTTTTGCTTATGAGAGGGAAATGATGGCAATTGTTCAAGAAGTGGCATCATTACTTGCAAGGACGACACTTTATCATTAAGACATATCACCATAGTCTTAAATACTTTCTGAACCATAAGGCTCACACTCCTTTTCAGCAAAAATGGGTCACTAAGCTTTTGGGCTATGATTATGAGATACAATATAGGCAAGGGAGTGATAATAAAGCAGCTAATGCTTTGTCTAGATTTCCTATCAGTCACAGTTTTTCTACTGACACAGTTCAAGTCTTTGCCATGGATACCGTGGCCACTGGAAATGATGTTGCTAAGCAGTATATTGAGAATTTGGCAATTACATATCCTTATCACAGTTGGATGGATGATTTACGAAGGTACAATGAGGGTGATCCTTGGATTATCAGTAAAAAGCAACAAATTCTAGCTGTTGCTGGTCATACACAATTATCTCCTTCACATTTTCTTTCAACAGCAAATCATTTACTCAAATTTCATATTGATAATGGTCTCCTCAAATATAACTCCAGAATAGTCCTCAGTCCTGATTCAGTTTGGAAGGCCAAAGTTTTTGCTGCTCATCACTCAGTTCCTACAGCTGGTCATGCTGGTTTCTTAAGGACTTATCAAAGATTATCTCGGAGTTTTTATTGGCCAGGTATGAAACATGATGTGCAGACAATGGTGGCTGAATGTCACACCTGCCAGCAACACAAGTATGAAACTGTGACTCCTGCTGGATTATTGCAACCCCTGCCTATACCAAATAAGGTGTGGACTGACATCTCAATGGATTTTATTGTTGCGTTACCACCTTGCCAAGGGAAATCTTTCATTTTTGTGGTAGTGGATCGTCTGAGCAAGTATGCCCATTTCATTGCTTTATCCCATCCTTACTCAGCTGCTACCATTGCTCAAATCTTTATGGATCATGTGTTTAGGTTACATGGTATGCCTAGCTCTATTGTTTGTGACAGGGATCCAATATTTGTTAGTGACTTCTGGAAAGAATTCTTCAAATTGCATGATGTAACATTACGGATGAGCTCTGGTTACCATCCACAGACTGATGGCCAAATTGAAGTAGTTAATCGGTGTTTGGAGACCTATTTGAGGTGCTTTGCTGCAGCTCAACCCAAAAAATGGTTGCTTTGGTTGTCTTGGGCAGAATTTAGCTATAATACAGCATATCATACATCAACCAAGTTAACCCCATTTGAAGTTGTTTATGGTCAGCCCCCACCCACTGTCACACCATATGAGCCAAGCACTACAAGATTTGCCAATGTTGACAGAAGCTTGGCTGCAAGGGACAGAATGTTGACCTTGCTCAAATCTAATCTCCTTACGGCACAGAATCGAAGGAAGACTCAAGCTGATAAACATCGATCAGAAAGGGAATTTCAGGTTGGGGATTTGGTGTATTTGTGATTGGTACCTTACAGGTTACAATCCTTGGCTGCTCACTCCTACCATAAACTTTTGCCCAAGTTTTATGGCCCTTATGAGATACTTGAGAAGTTGGGACCAGTGGCTTACAAACTCAAATTGCCTGCTGGTTGTAAGATCCACCCCGTATTTCATGTGTCTTGTTTGAAGAAGCATTTGGGAACTCACGTGACTCCTTCTTTAACATTACCTCGAATTACTGAAGATGGTATTGTGCAAGATGAGCCACTGGCTATTTTGGAAAGGAAGCTCGTCAAACGTGGCAATGCTGCAGGGGTGGATGTCTTAGTGCATTGGAAGAGTCACACAGTAGAGGATGCCACGTGGGAGGACTACAATGACCTCAAGGCCAGATTTCCTGATTTCATTGCTCAGGTTGAAGCTGCTTTCAATTCCAGATGAATCAAGTTGCGTTTTCTTCGGCACCTCTGTTTTCATTGTACTAAGTTTTCAATACTTGTAAACTTAGTTTCAAAGGGAGGGGTAATGATAGGAATTAGGAGTTGGAGGGCAAAACTGTAAAACAGTTTTGGTTAGTTAGTTAGCCACGTGTCAAGTTTTAGTTGAGAATTTGTTACAATTGCTGTGGTAACCTCTATGGTGGCTTTATTACCAATTGGAGTAGCCATTGTACAGGCATGTTGAGAAATATACAGAAAATATTCTTTGGGTTCTCTATGTTCTTGGTTAATATTCTAAGGTTGAAAGATAGAGTCCTATCACAAGGAACTTCTCCTTGGTTTGAGCCATGAAAAAAGAAAAGTTTTATTGGATTTGTAAATGTTCTTGGATTGTTAATTTTAAACTGTTTAAATGTTATCTAATTATATTTTTTATGTTTTCTCTTAGGATTTGCAGTAACATGTGATAACACAGATAAATCATCCTACGCTTTTGTTATTGACATGTTATGGACTTGCTACAAGTTGTGAACTAATAATAATTTAATTGATTCACCTTTTTACACTATTGGTTCTTTGTTGGCTAGTGAGAGTGTTGATCTGTATGCAAAAGTGATGGAAGAATTGTGACAAGAACGGTATTTGAAAACTATGGCATAGAGAAGTACCATGACGATCACACTCAATCGACTGTTTCCAATCTTCGATTTACAAAATATAAAGAACCCAAGAAAACTGGAAATGCAGTGGGTCTGGCCGGTCATACGGACAAGACTATTACCACCATTCTGCATCAAAATCATGTCAATGGTCTGGAGATAAACACAAAGGATAATGAGTGGATAGGTTTTGATCCTTTGCCTTCATCCTGCCTGTTCCTAGCTGGTGGTGGATATCAGGTATGTCACACCATTTCATTGATCTCGCTTTTTCATGGATATACATATACATGATACATACATACATATCATATATATATATAACCAATTCTTTTATAACAGTCCGACAACAAACTCAGCTATCTCATGTTTACTTACATGGAAGGGGTATTGGAATTATTCTCCTTCCTGACTTCCCCTTTACTGATATATCAGTATGGAAATTATTCCACTACCTCCCTTGCTTTTACTAATATATGAGTATGGAAACCAGTCAAATTCATGAATTCTCAAGCGTTTATTAACACGTTAAAATTTGGAAGTCAATGTTTTAAACACGAGGAATTAAGTTTTTGGAGGGGAGTAGTTGATTGCGTTCATAACTGTCCCCATTCCAAATAAGTAAATATGTAAATGAGGTTTTATATCTATAAACTCATATCGTTATGACCGGATGAGACAGAGTGAGTCAAATTAGGTTTTAAAGTGAAACATAAGCGTAGTTAAAGGAGGGGAGTGAAACATGAGCCTAACTTAAACTTAAACTTTTAGTAGTCTGATACTTCAATCAATGCATACTGGCAAGAATTTTTCAGTGATCAACTATCTATGCTGTATATTGCAAGATGAATAAAGATCTCAGATAGGATGTTTGCATTCTTTGGTTGGCCTAGGTTTGGAGCAATGGCAGAATAAGATCTTGTAAACATAAGAGTGACTTTTGAGGGAAAATGAGGTCAGATACTCGTTGGGGCTATTTTCTTTCCAGGAAGGGGTGATACAAATACCCAACGAGCTTGTCGACAAGGACCACCCAATCCAGAATAAGCCAGTGAACTTGTTGGAATATGTTCAATATTATCAAGCAAATTACACCACCATTGGAACTGATTTGATTTTCTTTTTTTAGGGGTCAAAGAATCCAAGCTAGCTCATCCCTCTTTCTTTTGCAATGTACTTTTTGTTTTTGTTTTCCTTAGCAAATGTGTCGTGTTTGTGTTTGTTTTTCTTAGCAAATGTGTTGTGTTGTGTTTGTTTGTTCTTTCAATATAAGTTTATGCAAGGCTTTGTTTCTTATTTGAGATATCAATTTGTGGTCGAATTGTAAGAGCATCTCCAAGGGAATAGGCACCAAGTACGTAACCTGGTGAAGTGGTTGAGTTGGTACGACCAAATCAAGTTGGAGGTCCCATACCATACATTTTATGTTCCCTGTTATGTAACCCGGTGTTGGGGTGTTACGATAAATCTCGAATTTTACATCAAACCTAACTTGTAGAACTTCCACAATCTTTCTCTAATGCTATAAGCTCATTGAACAAGGATTTTTTTTCTATAAAAAAAAAGAAGATAAATATATTTCATATATATTTAAAAAGAAAGCACAAAAATGATCTATAGAGAACCAATAAAAATGGAAGATTGGATGGGGAAATCAATGTGCTATAGATTTTGAAGGAAGCGATTGGCATTGCCTATCACCCTTATCTGGTTTCACTGAAATATGCTACTCACAGAAGAATCATCATGAACACGCCAAATAGTTTCACCCAACAGGTTTGCTACTGAAAGCACAGTCAACTGGGGAAAGTAATTCTTCTCCGCAACAGGAATTGTGTTCGTTACAATCACCTCTTGAAACAGGCCATTTGACAACCTTTCAATTGCAGGAGGGCTGTGAAGAAAAAGCAACAAAAGAAAAGAGTCAAAAAAAGGAAACAGAAAATAAGTCAAAAGATTTGAAGTTCTAGCAGTTCTTGTTTGCAGAAGATCTTGTGCATCTAGAGTTGGAACTTTGATCAGTAATGGGCAGCTTAGACTTACAAGAAATTTATCAACTTAGAAAGGGAAACATAAAAATAGTCAAAATATTAGAAGTTCTAGCAGTCAAACTAAAAGATGAAGGTCATCTCTGGATAGAAGTAAAAACAGCAAAGAGCCATGACATGCATCTACTCAAATAAACGAAGAAGATCAAATGCTTCAAAGGAAGTTGATACCTAAACACAGCATGAGTACAGCATGCATAGACTTCCCTTGCCCCTTCTTGATGCAATAGAGCTGCACCTTTTGAAATTGTCCCTACAACATGCAACTCATTTAGAAAAGGAATCGAAAACTGGCAGCAAAATGATATATCTCATGCAAGCTGGTTCAAGAGAGGTAAACACACGTCAATCTGACCATGAGAATAATCTCAGGGAAATCATATCACATATCAGCTGCAACATTTAAATCTAACTGGAGATATGGATGGACAGGAGAAGTTCACATACACATGGTCATTCCCCCAAAAGAAACATCATACAAAAACTTCAAAAATGGACCATAAATGTTAGCTGGTATAAAAAGGTAATGACAAAAGAGGATTAAAGGCTTTAGTCATTGAAATTTATTTAACTTAAACAAGGAAAGTAATGAATCATATATAAAAAGCATAAGTTCAATTTGACTTTTTATATCCTTTTATTTGGTTATTTATTTAAATTCAATTTGCTTTGTCTTTTTCTTCCTCTATCTTTCATTTTTATTTGTTTGAATTTATGTGCAAGGACAAATATACGATGTGAAATTGACATCAAGATCACTTGACTCACCAGCAGTGTCGATCATATCATCCACCATAACTGCAACTTTTCCTTTTACATCACCAATCAGGTTCATCACCTACAAAGGTGAAAAATTAGAGATGCAACAATTCCTTGCTCATTGGGAGTTTATTGTTAGTTACATTAATGAGCTACAACATTGACAGCCATGCCATTATGCACCTGTACGTTGTCCTAACATTTTGTAATGTCCCAAAAAAACTAGTTTTAAGAGTATGAATAAAAACTTAGAACAATGACAGAGACATGGGACACATGATGTGACTTATGACCAAAAAAAATTCACGTCAGTTGATGGGATTTAAACATTTCAGCCAGAATGACCACAGTATATTATATCCCTTCATCAAGTATAATGTTGCATGTGAAGCATTATAAGACATACAAAGATTAAAGCAGGCCATTGCTGCAGAAATTACCTCAGCAACATTGTGTCCTTGACGTCTTTTGTCTACAATGGCTAAAGGTGCATCAGATAATTTTTTTGCAAAAGCACGTGCTCTTGCAACTCCCCCAACATCAGGGGACACCACTACCAAATCATCAGAACAAATTGTCTTGCTGGCAAGATAATCAAGGATCACATGCTAAATTGCACATGAGAAATATCGTAAGTTTTAGAGAACACAAAGCTTTTACAAGTCAAGAATATAAAATCAGTGAGCTGATTCACCTCGCAATATACATGATCTACTGGTATATCAAAGTAACCTATTGACTGCCCAGAGTGAATGTCACAAGCAAGAACACGGTCTGCACCTGCTACAGTGATGAGGTTTGCAGCCAGCTTGGCTGCAATGGACTCACGCCCTTGAGTCTGGAGGAAAAAAGAACACATATTCCAGTTCAAATGCCAAATACGATGTGCTTCAATTAAAATAAAAGTAATAACTATAAAGATGTTGAACTCGTAACAAACTTAATGGTATGCCCTCCCGCTCCCATTGACAAAGTATGAATGAAACCACCCAGAATGCCATATTTCCTTAGTTTTGTTTGTAATCTTTGATCTCCAGGTACTTTCTACTGATAATATCCTAGAAAAATTCAACCTAAAACACTATGAAATAAACTTGCCTTTCTATCAGCTCTGGAATATCCGAAATATGGAATTACTGCAGTAATATTTTTGGCCGATGCCCTCCGACAAGCATCAATTACTATCTGTAGCTCCATGAAGTTCTCATTCACAGGAGGGCAAGTTGGCTGCAGTAAGAATACATCACATCCTCTAACACTCTCTCCCAATTGGACGTAAACTTCACCATCTGCAAAGCGCTTTATGTTGATCTTCCCAAGCTCCAATCCCATGTACCAAGCAATTTCCTAAGCATAATTTACTGATAGTTAGCAATCACAAGCACAAGGCCCCAAGAACTATAAGCGATTTATTGTGTTGAAGAGACAAATATATAGGAAAGATGGTTAAGAAGTTTCTTAAGTAATAAACAATTAGTAAACAGCTAGAAATATACAACTAAAAGCATCCAACATTTTTCACACAGCTTCAAAAACTGAAGACGAAATGCATGTGACAACCTTATGTTTAAATATATATAAAGGGAGATTGTCTCATGTCAGCCAATCCAACAAGTAAATCATCAGTATTAAAAAGCAAAACATGCTCTATCAGTTAATGTTAATGTCAAGGAAATGTGAAAATGCTCTTTGAAAGGTGATGTCTAACATATATACGCTAAATCAAAAGCGGATTCTGATTACCTGAGAGAGTGCAGGATTTGCTGTGCCAGAAAACAGTTTGATCCTAGGACTACTTCTGTTAACTGACTTCTCCAAGCGTGCTGATTCCAAGAACTTGGGCAGCGTCCGTTCGTTAACAATAGGAATGATTGGCTTCCCATTTCCGTATTTAATTGGCTCAGCCATATCACATTTCTACAACAATAATGCAAATACAGAAATCAACAAAACTTGAAAATGACATTGTAAATACTTTGGAACATTATCTAGAAAATGAAAACAACAACAAAACTTTATTTAGCTGCACTCAAATACCCACAGCAGAATTTCACCCAACATGTCAAAACTAATAAAAGTTGAAGAAAATTTATGTTGGAAATTGTCAAAGCCAACCCCTTTCTTTTTCTCTTTCTGGAATTTTATGTTTTTACAAGGCCATTTAAAGCTCCATCCTCAAAGGAAACTGCTTTTTGTTTCAATTTTGAAAGCTGAAACAACATTGAAAAATTTAATGAAAATTTTCGAGTTCAAACTACAGAACATAAAACGCAAATGTGTCTCGGTACACTTACGACGCTATTAGGAGCGTAGATTCGAGAGCCGGAGTCGTTGGGGAGCAGAGTTTTATGGCTGACAGAGCAGCGAGAGAAGAGAGACGAAAAAGACGACGCCATTGACGACGACGACGAAGAAGACGTCGGCATAATGAGTGAGGCCGCCATACCTTTACCGGTATAAAAATTAGGGTTAGGGTTAGGGTTAGGGTCTTGGACAGAGAAGAGGGAGAGTGCCTTCGTGTGCTTTGGGGGATGCTCTGAGAGAGAGCAGTGTGGCTCTTTATCTATGGCGGGGGTCTCTGTTTTTTCCACGGCATTTGCATTTTCGTATTTTCTTTTAAAATTATAAAAAAGGGTGGTGGTGGCGGAGGTGGTAGGTTCAATACGACACCGTCTCGCGTGCTGCACGTTACTTAAGGAAGTGGGGCCAGTCAAATCCATGTGAACCAATTCATCACGTCCCAATTCCTTGTACTTACTTACTAATGCTTTCATATTTTTGTTTCGCTTTCACTCAACGCATGGCCTTTTCATGTTTTTTTCCTTTCTCACTCACTTTCTTCTTTTTTTGGTTGAAAGGGGGGAGGTTTTGGATTGATTGGCTCGAAATTTAGTGCCAGTTTCCATTCTTGTGGTCAACTAAAATGGAATCTTATTAGGCAAAAGCTAAAGTTGGAATCTTTGAAATTTTTTTTGATTTTATATTCCCTATTTATCTTCTTTGACAAAGAAAGGTTCTATTTGTATGGTTGATGAAAATCATTCCAAAAATATGGAAAGTAAATCACCTCGCAAGTTTTTATTATTTATTTATCATTTTAAGACAAATTATAAAAGAATTTTGAAATTTCAATAGACCAATCAACAACTAGTATTCAATTTCGAAAAACTTTAGACCATACATAAATGAGAGATAATGCATTTAATAGTTGGATTTGTCACAATTTCTATAACCTAACAATTCTTTGAAGTGATTCCAACTTTGAAATATATTGTCCTCCACTTAAGTCCTATAGAAATATTTTTGGGGAAGGGTTATCTATTGTAAACGCCCCTGAACTTGGCCCCAGTTGCAATTGGGTCTGTGAACTTTTTTTTCGTGCCAATTACATCCTTTAACTGGACAAATCGTTCCAATTAGGTCCTACCATCCAACTCTGTCAATTTGTGTGTTAAAATGAGGGGGTAAAAGCGTCCTTTGAGTGATTCCAACTTTGAAATATATTGTCCTCCACTTAAGTCCTATAGAAATATTTTTGGGGAAGGGTTATCTATTGTAAACGTCCCTGAACTTGGCCCCAGTTGCAATTGGGTCTATGAACTTTTTTTTTCGTGCCAATTACATCATTTAACTGGACAAATCGTTCCAATTAGGTCCTACCATCCAACTCTGTCAATTTGTCTGTTAAAATGAGGGAGTAAAAGCGTCCTTTCGGGTTCTTCATCTAGCATTGACCCCAACTCCACCTTCTTCTTCCATCATCGACCCAACAACAACACCTCAAGAATTTGACTATTTTGGAAAGCCACATTCTTCTTCCATCATCAACCCAACAACCCCACCTCAAGAATCTGACTATTTTGAAAAGCCATTTGTTAGAGGAGACTTTGTGTAGAAAATTCCAACATTCTGGAATTTCATAAAGACCATAAACAAAAAAACAAAAAAAACAATGAGAAAGAGAAACTTACCCTACCTAACAATTCTCTTGTTCAAGGAAACTTCTCAATTTCACAATCTCTTGGCCTCTTCCTGTGGTTTTCACCTTTTCTTTTGCTTTCAGTTGTGTTCATCAGTCTCCCTCTCTGTCTCTCCCTCTCTCTCTCCCGTAACCTATTCCCCCCTCCTCCTTCAAAACCCAGATCTCAACCCAACTTGCAAAAACTTCTGTTGAGGCCCAAAAAATCCACGGTTGGACCCGAATAAATCTTGGGCCCAATACGACACCTTCTTGAGAAAATGCCCAATTCGGAGCACGCAAAAGTCTGCTGGGCACGAGTCACAGCCCACGTGCCACACCAAATAAATAATTCGTTGTGCTAGGAATTGAGATAAGAATCATAAAATGCACTAGCTCCACAAGCCCATGCCAATTACCCTGCCAAGCATCATGACAAAAGCTTGCCATGCCAAGCGGGAAATTGTTATTTCACACCCAACCACGCTACATGCCTAAGTGGGCCCAAGCCACTCAAATGCCCGGGGCTTGCTTGAGTGGGTTGTGGTATGGAAGGTAATAAGTTGACATGAGGCCCATTGATGGGCCGAGAAATAGAAGTCCTGGGGTTGCTTAGGAGCCTCGGAACTCAAGCCCATTTCTTAGGCCCAAACATGTGGGTAAGCACAAAGGGAAAAAATAGCCCATTAACTTAACCAAATTAGCTCAACACCTCAACAAAATGGTTAGCCCATTTATTTAATAAACCAACCCATTATCCTAGAAAGCCCATATAATTAAAATAAAGACTTGCAAAAGCCTCAGCACCTGGCTAAGAAACAGAAGCCACGAAGGGAGCAAGGATGTCCACGTACGCAGAGCTGCTGGGAAACTCCAGCACATGGGAGAAACTAGTTTTAAGCAGAAAACATTCAAGGAACCAAGGGGTAATTGGCGCGCAGATCGCTAGGAAGGGAGGCACCTTTCAAACCAGCGTGCATACCCATTTCTTTCTCCCCATCAGATCTAGCCATGGAAAAGGGGAGAAAAGAATGAAGAAAGATAGCTGAAATTGGACATTCCTCACTGAGACAGCTGCGGGAAAATCCTAGAGCTCCCCAAATCCTGTTTTTGTGCAATTGGGCAGAGAGAATTTTACCAAATAGGATGAGTCAAAGGAAGAGAAGAGAAGGGAAGGGAAAGATTTGGCCAAATTGGATAGAAACCATTAGGGTTTCTTGGAGAAAGGAGGCTTCCAGAGGCTATAAAAGGGCCTATCTTCTACCCATCAAACCCAACCCATATCTGGAGAGCAAGCTTCCTCTCTCACCTGCAAAAACCCAGCAAATTCGTGCTCTACTCACCCTTCTCCCTCATTTTCCCCTTTTTGGCAGATTGCTATAGCATTTGACAGAGCCTCTGCTAAGCTGCTGGAAAAACACTCAAGCCACCCATTCCTATCTCTCTCTCCCTCATTCTCTGCCCAACCTTCCTACAAACCCTCTCATCTCCTACCTTAATACCTCTCTTTTTCCCAGAAACGGATAAGCTTTCTCTTTAGTGCTAAACTCATGACAATTTTGCTTCCATTCTACAAGCCTCTCATGCTAAGCTAGAGAATCAATCTGTAAGTCATTGTTATTTTCATTGGTAAAGATAACCAAGGTGTTTCCTAAGGCTTCATTCCCCTTTCGAAACATTCTTGGGGCATGATCTTCAAACTCAGACATAGGGGCATAATTTCACCAGATCGCTTCTTACGGCAGCCCAGCCCATTTGTAACTGCCAGAAGAAAAAGTCCCCTACAACTTCTTTGCCAAAAACCTTAGTTTGGGTACCTCAAGGAGATGCTTTTCTGGTAAAAAAATAAGACACAAAACACAACACTTATTTCACATAATATACAAAACCTATGTACAAAACCTAAAACCCCAATTAGACAACTTCAATATGTCTTGACGTTAGGACTGTGGAGGGTTTAAGGGTAGAGTAGGTTCTTTGGCTTTCTCTCATTGGTTTTAAGGGGGTTAGGTTGGGATCTAGGTTTTGAGGGGGTGGGATAAGGAGGAGGGGGGAAATGGGTTATGGGAGAGAGGGAAAGACAGAGAGGGAGAGCTGAGAGAGAGCGAAAGAGAGACAGAGAGGGATATCTGGATTTTTATTTATTATTTTTAAGTTTATTTATTTATTATTTATTTATTTTAATTTAATTATATTTTTCAATTTTTTCAGTTTTTTTCTTTTTAAAATATTTTAATTAATATGGATGGTTTTAGCCCTCAAATTAACGGCCAAATTGATGGAAGGACTCAATTGGAACCAATGAGAGAGTTGGATGACCTAATTGGCACAAAAACAAGTTCACGGACCCAATTGCAACTGGGGGCCAAGTTCAGGGATGTCTACAGTAGATAACCCTTTTGGAGAATGCTAGCAATCTTATCTCCAACCTTCTCTTTTGGACCTTCTCCCTTTTCCTCATGACATGTATCTCTTTACTTACAATTAAAACAATGTAATTAATGCATCAAACAAGCTAACATTTGTTTTTCAAATTTATCCTTATTAAATATATTGATTTTAATGTTTCCTTTAATTTATCAAAAAAAAATTTACAAACTTTTTACCACCTTGTTAAAAAGTAATTAAGAAAAAACGTTTTTTTTTTAAAAGACTCTAAAGGCAACGAGACATTCAATAAGACTTAAAAAATAAATAAGAAAAAAGGTTAGTTTTATTTTATTTTTTTGTTTTCTAAAAGACTCCAAAAGGGGTAAGGAGAGACCTTAGTTTAAATCGAAAATTTGATATGCCAGAATTTTAGGGAAAGTAACCTAGAAATATTACTTTATTTCCTTTCCCATGTTTGTTTTGAGTAGGAATGGAAAGCTAATTTTGTTTAGTTTCCCATTTTTACCCCTATTAAAAATATGTTATGAATTAAAAAATAAAAAAGGAATACCATTAGTTGTTGGATAAAACTATAATTATAAATTATTAGTAAGGACAAATTAGTCAGAAAAATGTGCATTTAATGCTAGCCTTACTTACCCATGAGAAGGGAAAGTAAAACCCAAGGAGGGAGGATGGCATCACTTTCCCCTATACTTTCCCATGTGCCAGGCAACGATTTCCCATGCCTGACTTACCAAACATGGAAAAACAATTGATTTCTCATCCCCAAGTTTCCTTTCCCATGAACCAAACGGGGCCTTACTGTATAAAAAAGTCATCTTTCTATTGAGTGTTTTTTTAGGTCATTCTTTTGTGTTTAAAAAAATACACGTTTTATCTCTATGAAAAATAGACATTTTATTTTTAAAAAACTAACTTTTTTATTATTTAATTTTGTACATGTGGTAAGAGAGTTGAAAATTTGTTTTTGAACAAATTGAAGGAGAATACATTTAATAAGGGTAAACTTGGAAAACAAATGTTAACTTATTTGATGCATTAGTTACATGGTCTTAAGTGTAAGGAAAGTGACACATGTCATAAGGAAAAGCGAGAAGGTCCAAAAGAGAAGGTTGCTAGCATTCTCAAATATTTTTACTCACCACTTTAATTCAATCTGTATTATTATCACTATTTTCAACACTTGACACGTGTCCATGGGTCTAATCATAGTTAACTCTTTACTTTGTATTTGTGGAATTATGGTTAT